ACACTTAGAAAAAAATCAACGCCCGGCTACCAACGCTCGGTAGCCGGTGGTTGAAATTTTTCCAAGTCTTTTTCAAAGGTTCGCTTACAAAAGACTTAGAATATTTTCCAACAAATTTTCTAATTCTGACTATAGCTTAAACAACACTTAGGGAAAATTTAACGCCCGGCTACCTATAAGAGGTATTGGAAATTATATTGGTAGCCGGTCAGTTTTGAGGAGAATTGAACTGTTGTTTAATTTCATATATCACTTTATATTTGAAGCATATTTTGCATTACTACAGTAATAATTTTTTATTCACATACGACAACCTTGTTGCTGAGTTTTGCTTAGTTCAACGTTTCAACAGTATTTACTCGTTCTGGTTTAAGAATAAAGCTATTGTCAAATTAATTAATATGAACACGAAACATTGAACTTCTTGTCAATAATAATAACGCAAGCATATATACAATATATTATAGGTGCATCTCAGAAAATTAGAACATAATATTTCGACATTATTAAACTAGTGTGTACATATGTGTTTGTATTGTAGTATATTACGTAAAGACAAAGAATTTCCAATGTTTTATTTTAACATCCAAGTATTTACTGGCAATAAAAGTTTCACTTTTCAAATCAAATTTGTGCCGAGAAATGTTTTCGAAGAAATTCTAATTTTCTGGTCACCTGTAAATCACAAATTTAAATAGTATAATGATATAAATCAAAATATTAATCGACTCTAAATAAATTCGTTCATGTCACTACAATTTATCTCGACAGCATTGTAAAATTTTGTTACAACAGAACAAAAATCTGAAAGAAACCGATCTGTACAGAACGTTTATATCTACCATGGCCGCCAAGTCTTAATTTTAGTCCAATACGTTTGGGAACTTAGTGGCGGATTTGCAGGATCTCCGTCCCTGTCTAATTCCTGTTCTTCTTCAACTTCTTCCTCCGCTTCTCCGCTCTTCACTCTGAGGGCTTGCACCGCTAGGGAAAATGGACAACGGTCTCGCATCACCCGAACATTTGCATTTTTCCGCAGATTTTCTAAATGAGCACTTGTTTGTGGAAATGCACAAGCAAATCCTTCCATGTTAAAAATCTCTCGCTGCCGTCCCAACATCAGCATGGAAGCATCAATTGTTGGATCAGGAACCACCCAGTAATTCCGTTCTTCAGGTGTTCGTCGTAGTTCTGCCTTTCTCAGGCGTTCTTGGTAATGGTGGACGTGTGCCTTTCTCACTTCTTTTTTGTTGAAGCACCATTTGATCAGATGTGCTACCTTCTGAAAATAAGTTTTAGAATTGAGTTGCCAACCTTCTGGTGGAGTTGATATCAGATGATCTAGATCTGCAGGTGGTGTGGGACTATCTAGCGAAGTTGGTGCACAACTTGCTTCAGGATCGTTCCCTGTTTCTTGGTCGTTCGCTGCTTCTCGTGTGGTCGACGCTGATGGCTGTGCGTGAAGATCTGTTTCTTGGTCGTGTGCCGCTTCGTGTGTAGTGGAGGCTGATGGATGTGCTTGAAAATCTGTGTCTTGGTCGTGTGCCGCTTCGTGTGTAGTGGACGCTGATGGCTGTGCGTGAAGATCTGTTTCTTGGTCGTGTGCCGCTTCGTGTGTAGTGGAGGCTGATGGCTGTGCGTGAAGATCTGTTTCTTGGTCGTGTGCCGCTTCGTGTGTAGTGGACGCTGATGGCTGTGCGTGAAGATCTGTTTCTTGGTCGTGTGCCGCTTCGTGTGTAGTGGACGCTGATGGCTGTGCGTTAAGATCTGTTTCTTGGTCGTGTGCCGCTTCGTGTGTAATGGACGCTGATGGCTGTGCGTGAAGATCTGTTTCCTGCTCGTTCGCTGCTTCTGGTGTAGTGGAGGCTGATCACTGTGCGTGAATATCTGTTTCTTGGTCGTGTCGGCCTTCGTGTGTAGTGGGCATTGATGGCTGTACGTGAATATCGAGCTCGCCGATTGCATTTGCTGTTGGTTGTGTCTGGACAATACCGCCATTTCTGGACATTTCGCTACCAGATGAGGGTGGATTTTCCCAATTGTCCAAAATGTTATCTTCGTCCGTGTCCATTATACAACCACGTGCACGTCGTCTTCTTCCCTCAAGGTGTTGGGTGCGATATTCCTGAACGAACCTTTCATGGATGGTGGGCGTGGTTTCTAGCGTGGATGTATTTGCGTCTTCGAAGTCGGCAGGGCAGATATCACGAACATGATGGAGTTGGAAAAGGGAGGGGCCTTCGTTGTTCGGTATGGTGAGGTTTCTCGTGACGGTTGGCTCGTACCACAATTCATCCTTAGCGATGTGTTGATAGTGTGCTTCAAGTTGTTCAGCAATCCACACGATGCAATCCATGGCGTTATCGTAGATCCACCGATCTATACCAGGTGTCGTCGAGGGTAAAGATGTTGTGTTGAAAACCTGGATTCTCCTTTCAACGTTCTCGTTCTCATCACGAAAGTCAGGAACGTTGTTGGTCGTTATATAATAGGGACTGTTGTTCATAACTCGTCTCGGTTCACCGTGCTTAACAGCCGTAACCATCCAACCACCTTGGAGTATGGTTTTTGCAAGGTCGGACTGCATTGTGCTTGCAGACCAATCGTCTACGATCACCAGTTGCGTGTCGTCTGTTACCATGGACGCTGAAAACTGACGTTCGTTGGTTATGGAAGCAATACTTTCGGCAGGGATAATGCGATGGAAGACGCTCGCCCAAGACGTTTTTCCAGAGTCTTTAGGACCAGCAACGACCAGTTTTCTCACTTTCTGTGGCATTCCGGACGGGATTAAACATTGATAAAATTTGTTGAGGAAGTTTACTCTTACCGTCGGATCTTCGAATGAGTTAAGGATGGCATCTCGAAAGTAGGCTGGGGTTGGTGGGGTGGAACAATCGTACGGCACGAACGCTCTCGGGGAGATTTTTCCACGCATCGACTCATCGATTGGACACTGACGAAAGCTACGGTTTCGTATGGAGAAGCAGAACCCGTTGGAAACTTCGACGAGGTCAACATCGACCTGCAACTGCAGGATTACTTCGCACGCTGGATGGCTTAGAAATTTCTCTAGCATGTGAAAGTGCTTCATCACACCCTCTTTTAAGCAATCATTGGAGAGCAGTTTGTGCAGGTAACTTGTAACATCCATCATTCTCACGTATGTAAATGTCGCTCCGGCTGGTTTTGCGTATATTTGCGAACGAAAGAGGGCGTGATCACATAATCTCATTGTCTTCTCGATTTTAGTTATAATTGCAGACACGTCACTCGTGTCCATTTCGGTCGGGCGTCTGAAACTGTCCTCACGTGACATGTCGATGTCCACCACGAGTCCGTCAGAACGTAGTCTCTCAGCAGCTGCCAATATGCGTTCAGAAAACTCTCGTTGGTTCACGATCACCAATGCACACGGAGAAGTGGGAAAGTGCGTAGGCCTAATTTCCTCGTCTTCCGAATCCTCTTCGTCTGACCCGACTACGTTCTGGTAGCAGTAAACGTTAGAGACGTCTAACATTTCCTGGATGGCTTCATTGTTGTGGTCTTTCACCACTTGGAATAGTTGCCTTGCCGCCGTTTCCATCTGCTTGTCTGGCACGTTCTTCGTTCTCACCCTGATCGGTGAAATCTCAGGCTCAACATCGTGGTTGTGAAGTGCTGAAAATAGGGTTGTTCCATTGCATGCGGCGTTTTCTCGATATACCACGAAATACGCGATGGATGGATATGTTTCACATGTTCGATCTTCTTCTGCGGATCTGGCGTTTGACGTTACACACGTGATGCAGGAAAAGAAGAATTGCACGCCACTTATGTTTGATAGGCCTTTTCGATGCGATCTGGTTGTGGGCAAGTTCGACATCGTCACGACACACACGCCAAACAGCTCTGCACGATACTGCTTTGCAGTCTTCTGATATCTAAACCGTTTAAGAACATTTGCAGTCACTTATGTTATGCTGTTTGAAGTATAGGCAGTATAGGCAACAAACAAAATAAAGCAGTACACTCGTTTGCCAAGTATACATGTAATTACAACATGTGCTTAATATTTACATAGTCATAGTATTATTCACACTTACCAAAGTGAGAATGTTCGCACGAAGTGAATTTCGTATTCTGTTAGAGTCGAGCTCTTTTCGAGGCCGTGGAAGATCCATGTTGTTACGAAGAAAAGAAAAGCTTGCGTTTAGCGTTTGCCAGGCAGGTTGAAAGAAAGTAACACGGTTTTCACGGCGCGCTTTATATCGTAGATTATGCCCATATTTACAATTCATGCATAGGAACAAAATAATTAACTTTGGTGCTAATGACTGTGTTAATGGTAGCGATAATGGTGTTGATAGTGCTGATGCTGCTGGTGCGGATGGTGGAAGTGCGGATGGTGGAAGTGCGGAAGGTGTTTATTGTGGTTGTGATAATAGTGCTGATGGTGGTGATAACAGTGTTGGTAGTGGTGGTGATGATGGTGTTGCTGGTGGTGATGATGGTGTTGCTGGTGATGTAGGTGAGACATCTACATGTAGTGAAACACTTGTGGAGATGAGGAACGTCTTACATGTAAGTTAATACTGCTGTGCTGTAATTCCTCATATTTTGCTCTATTTTGTTTTGACAATTCCTCATATTTTGTTCTATTTTGTTTTGACAGTGAAAAATGTATCATATGTCCCAAACCAGTGCTGTGGGTATACATATTTTCTCCTAGAGTGGGATATCAACACTAGGAGAAAATATGCATTACATTTATGTATATGATGCCAAGGATTTTGTGAATAGAAATTCCTAGTGTAAATTTCATACATCATCACTATTCATTGTGTACTATTTAAAACAGTGGCACAGCCGAGCATTTTATGTCTGATAAAACACGACAACGAGTGTTTTGCATAGCTTAAAATACGACTACAAAAGAATATTAATTAGGATGAACCATTATATAATCATACTAATTAGGATGAACAATTATATAATGCTACATGTGTTTTATCTGACATAAAGTCACTCCACGTGACATATTATGGCTGACATGATTTGCCACAAGTTTTATGCATTATTAATGAGTATTTTAATTCTATCTACAAAATGCTACAATTAGTTAAATTGGGTGAACTACAAATCGTGATAATTGCCAATGCATGATGTCACTTTTTCTTAACGAGTTGCACAATTTATATGGAGGAAGATCAAAGGAGGATCCTTGGTTTCCTAAAGGGTGTAAATAATTGGGCAGAGTTTGTGTCTTGTATCGAACTGGTGAAAGAGAAGGGGCTATTGCTACCATCATACAAGCAGCCAGTTGAAGAGCAGCAGTACACACAGACTTGTAATGTTGAGAAAAGGTGCGATCCTATTCATATGATCATAATAAAGTATCATCAATATATAACTTAAGTATCGCCATACGTTTTGTTTCACGAAATACTATAAAGAGTGCTCAATATCATATATAGATAAAGCAAACCGTAAATTAAAGCTCACATTCAAAACACAAGCGCGTTTCTCCTTTACTGTATTGTCTGTTTCTTGTTTATTGCTTTGTCTTTTACCATAGTGTGCGTTGTGATGTCCCCAAAGGAGTTTTAAAAGAAGGTTTGGAACCAGTAAAGGTTACAGGAGATGGGAATTGCCTGTTTCGGTCAATTTCAAAAGTAATAACTGGAAGTGAGGATGCCCACCTTCTATTTAAACTCGCTGTGGTTATTCATGGTTGTTCGAACGAGCAGCATTATCAAAAGAATATTCACATATGTAACATTAGTACTAAAATGGATCAAAGATGGCATGATGTAGTGGTAGACTGGTAGTATTGGTTTGTCTTAATTCTAATTTTTTTAATAATGTATTGTCTACCGCACATATATTTTTACCATTTTCGAAATCGTATTTGATTAACAATGACCTTGACCTGTTCCTGCATACATTAACAGAAGATGGAATATTGGCGACCATGAGTGAAGACTTGTCTGAAGAGGATAAGTTTATGCACGTGTATAGACAAGAGGTGATGCGAACCGTTATCGATGGTGATTACACAGGTGCGTGTTACCTAAATATTGGTGTGTAGTAATAGTAGTAAGTGGGAGCTTATCATTATAACTTGTGCTGAAAGCTAATCTAGTCCAATATGAGGATCACCGCCTAAGTCCCATATTAACTTATAAATTCGTTTTCAATAGAGTTTATAAGTTTAGACTCTATTGTCTAATTTGTCTTGAAGTGAAATATAAAATGTCTTGAAACTAATTTATATTGGTTAGCTTAGATTTTTAATATAACTATATTTGTTTCTACATACTTCTGATTTGTTTTAGACAACATGTTAAGATTATCACATGCATGTCCTTTATTAGGATATCTACAAGTTCTTATAATGGCAGATACATTGCAGCGGAGAATCATACAGCATTGTAACGCACCTGGAATGGATTTGTACAATACTGAGGTGATACCATTACATATTCCGCCAAATATCTCCCCAATTCATATCCTCTGGTGTTCCTTGAGTGGGGGTGGCATACAAAATCACATCATCCCACAACAAAAATGCAGAGATGAAAATGGTAATACTTAGTTTAATTTACAGTATAACTTTATCCAATAGTGATATTAATTAAATTAATAGTTTAGTCATAGAGTGAGTCGCAGAAACACGCATGAATGTTTGTTCGTTAGTTTAAAGACATTGATAAAAGCCTAATTAATAATTTTTATTCCTGTATTAAAATCAAATAACACAATGTTTTAACAAGAATCTACCACGCTGCACCGAGTAAGGAAGCAGCAGAGGTGAGCAAAGTATTCCGAATACCAGCATATCGGTCACTGTCAAAAAAGAAATGAGCTGTAGTTTCTTTTGGAAAACCACATGCACAAAAAGAGGAAGAAACACAATTTTTAAAATATAAATCGTAGTTTAATGTACTATTAGATAATCTCAAATGAGTATGCAAAATAGCTGGTAGACGATCACCTATATAATATCGCGGATTGGGAGCTACGAATTTGTGTAGCCGAGTCACACTGTTTTTAAAAACGGCAATTGAACGACTAGAACGAATAGTCACTGAAAGACTATTCCAAAGATTCACAGAGGAAATATAAAATGACTTTTTGTAACGTTCAGTTCTAGCGAAAGGGACAATCAGATTATCATTGAAACGTAAACTACGATTTGATCTAGAACTGACATTATCAGGACGCAATTCTGACAGATTTCATTGGTTTAAGTAAATTAAGTTGTTTTGAAGCCTTTTGATGGATTTTAAGTATATGAGGCCGCCACAATAATTTATTAGTAAGAGTAATGCCCAGGTGATCATGCTGGTGATCAACTATATCAATTGGTTCATTGGCCAAAGTAAGCGTAGGATGCAAGGGCTTGTGTTAACTTGGAAGAAAATATCATGTTTTTTGTCTTGTTAGCATTCTGACATGGTCACCAGCCATCGATCAGCCCACATTGATATAGAATCAAGATCATTATTTAGCTTGTTAGCTGTGTCAATCTGCAATATGACTTCATCTAATAGTAAGGAATCATCAGCGAAAAGAAAACAAGTGGAAGAAACATTATCAGCTATGTTGTTGATATAAATCAGAAATAACAATGGTCCAACAACAGATCCTTGGGGTACTCCGGCTTCAATACGTGCCCAGTCAGAGCTCATTCCCTCAATGGTTACTCTTTGATATCTTTCAGTCAAATAATTTTCAAACCATTGAAGTAAGGGGCCATTTATGCCAATACTTTTAAGTTTGGTTAATAAACCTTTGTGCCAAACCTTATCAAATGCCTTGGAAATATCAAGAAATACTGCACGTACTTCATTACCTTTTTCTAATGCTTGATAAATTTTATTAACAACAAAAATTAATTGCATAACTGACTGTGGAATCACCTGGTCGAAAACCTGACTGAAAACGATAGAAAAAACAAAACTTTTTAGCATACTTTGGATAAACTAACTAACAAGGAAATTGGACGATAATTCGTTTTCATTTGCCGATTCTCTTTTTTAAAAATGGGTATAACATTTGCAATTTTCCAACAACTGGAATATTGTCCTAACAAAAGTGATAAATTTAAAAGCAAAGTAGAAGATTTAAATATACCACCAGCACAAGACTTGAGTGCTTTGTTGCTAATATTGTCAAAACTGCATGCTTTAGAAATGCCTAAGTTATATAAAATATTTAACACTTGATATTCATTAACAACAATAATTGATAAATTATGAGGTGAACTAGGTAATGAGGGAATATCCACAGTATCAGCATTAGGCATAATTGTTTGGCCAACGAAATAATCATTAAAAACCTGAGCCTTGTGTTGCGAATCTGAAATGACAATGTTGTTGTCAATTAAATCAGGTGACGAAGAACAGCACTTGTTACCATACAAAGATTTTGAAATGCCCCACCACTTTTTGGTTGATGTCGATGGATCCGCTAGTAAAGTATTTATTTTACATTGGTGTTCCATTTTGGCTTTCCTAATTAACTTAACAACGAGATTTTGTTGAGTGCGGTAATGTTCCCAAGACAATGCACTTTTAATGTTTGTAAAACGTTTAAGAAAATTATCACGTCTTCGAACAGCTTGGCGAATTGAGCCATTCATCCAGGGCTTGTCTTTGGGCCAAACAGTAATTTCCCTAGAGGGAATATAGGCATCAAGAATTGACTTAAATAAATTAAACCATTTATTGTAAACAACATCAATAGAATCTGACGGATTAGAAAAAACATCTCCCCAATTAGCATTTAATAGTGCTGCATTGAGGGCATTAACATTCGCATTTTTATAATTACGAACAGTTCTTTTAAATGATCGTTGTTTTCTTGAAGAGATATTCAAGTTAGCATAAACAATATTGTGATAACAATTGGAAGGAGGACTCAAATTCCAGTAGAAATAAAATAGCCAGGAGAATCAGTAATGATTTAATCAAGAATAGTTTCCCCGGTCAATGTAACACAAGTAGGTTCTTCAGTTAATTTAAATAAGTTAGTACCTTCCAAAAAATTATATAGCTTGACACCGACATTAGTATTATGTGATGAGGCACCGGCGAAATCAAAATGGGCAATTAAAGTCACGTAAAATTACGATAATGGAAAAATTATTTGACATATTAATAGAGTCGAGACTGGCCTGTAAATAATTTAGAAATAAATTGATCAGAGGTTTGGCTAGGAGGCCTATAACACACTCCGCAAATATATAACGTACTTGATACACCAAACGAAGAGAGAATAATCGATATTGCATGTATTTGAAAATTTATAAACATTTATTTACATCATATTTTGTTTTTAATAATTTAAAATGTATTCTAAAAATTGCTGTGTAATTCCCATATAATTTCCATGTATAATCCCCATCTTTTCCAAATGTATATTAATATATAATCCTCATCTTCTCCAAATTTCTTCATGTAATTTAGGTCTCTGACAACACAAGTGAATGCTTTCTGTGTAACAGCAAGATTCTGTCTGGTGAAAAAAATCGGAAGATAACAGAAAATAATTTTACTCGGTCCGGTATTACTGCAACACAATTACAAAAAATTAAGGGCTCGCACATATGTGGATGTTGCTGGCTGGCAAAGGTGGTGAGATGCCATGGGAAAAATTGTGCTATAAAAGGTTGTCCTACACCAAAAAAGAAAGTCACGAAGTTGTACTTGCCAATACCATCACATGACATCAATGGAATATCCTGCAACAGCAAAAACTCTTCTTCATCCAATAAACCTTCGTCAAAACCAATAAGCAGCAAATCACGAACGGATTTGAAGGATGCCATTCACATATTTCACAGAAAAGTGGTGAAATTATAACAGTTTTCGGTTGCCGTTGTGCGTGGCGATATCGAACAACTTAACATGGCGGATGTTTACAACACGACGGCGTTCTCCCCAGGCAATTCCCGGTTTCAGCGTTGCCGTTGCTGCCGGCGATGCGCAATCTTAAAGTCTCTAATGAAAGTGTCGGCTACGAACACGTTCTCGGAATTTATGAGTGATTGCAACAAAATTTCTTGCGGAGAAGGTATTCAACTGGCAAAAGATATAACGGATAAATCTGTTTTAAGGGAACAAGACAGTGTGCAAAAGATGAATGAGCAAAAAGTACAAAAAATAATAGGAGTACCTGAGACATTCAACAAACAATGCCATGGATCAGCTGGAAGAATCAGATTGCTTAGCGCAGTAGCACCGTATTTCAAGAACAAAGAACTGAAAAAAGCCATCCCTTGTACTGACTACCAGATAACAGAAGCCCGTAAGCATGCAAAGTTACATGGCCCGGGAGCAACACCGAAGTCCAAAGAAAAGGTGAAGAGATTTAAAATCTCGCCTGAAGATCTTGCATTCGTTTTGAACTTCGTTCATCCAGACAACACTTGTAGATCGTCTCACAGAATGGCATTGTGTGAAGGAACGAAGTCGTCTTGGATATCAGATCAATTGATGAAAGCAAACAACCTGTAATGTGGACTGAAAGATGGGAAGGGAAATCTCTACAAAAAATATAAGGAGGAGTGCGTAAAAGAAGGAAGAACGCCAATATCAGAATCAAAATTTCGTGATGGATTGAATGCTGGGAATTTTAAAGAGATGGTACGAATGACGGGATTATGCAATATTTGCGATGACGTTGGAGCTAAAATTGGGACAGATTCTTCGAGCTGATTGAAATTGTTGAGAAGAGACATGTGGCGAAACACCTAGTACGGACACAATGGATACCTTAGAAGAAGACGAGTTAGATGACAAAAATGTCGATAAAACAAAAGTGGACGATAATTGATATAACAGATGAAGATGGTGAGTACAAGCAACATAACTACCTCCCAGCAGATTCTCCTGTTTTGATGATAGAAGTGAATGACACGTATCAAATTTACATGATATTCGTCTTTTCAAATGGGGATTGCACACAAAACTGGTATTTCTCAGCCAGTGTGTTCGAAGCAACCTTTCAAAATTTTTCTGTGTGTCACAGTCATGTAAAATTCAAAATTAAACGAGACTTACCTGTAAGTTGATGTTTGATTTGGATTCTGTGAGTCATTGGTCGGGAGCGAAGGAGTCATGTGATTATATGTGATTATATGAGAAAGCGTGCGAACCGGAAGATCAGTTTTTAACCAGATCGTACTCGTACCAATACATGGGTCGGGTTTCAACACCATTGGGTGGGCACATGACTCCTTCGCTCCCGACCAATGACTCACAGAATCCAAATCAAACATCAACTTACAGGTAAGTCTCGTTTAATTTTGAATTCTGTTTCATCATTGGTCATTGGTCGCTACGGAGTCATGTGATTATATGAGATTTTAAAGCAGTACGAGTACAATAACCAATACTCAGTTCAATGAAAGCCAATGACAGGCAAATTTTCATTATAACAAAACCAAACCATGAAACTGCAATAACACATCTTACCATATACATTAGGTATATTAAGCCCTATTTTGTAACAAGTTGCCATAACTCTCTTTGGCTATTGGTTTTAAATAGTACTTCGCAAAGGTTGATTCCTGAGACCATCCAGCATTTTGCATAATAATGTCAATCGGTATGTTCATAGCTTTGGCTGCTGAAGTAGACGCTGACCGAGTGCTGTGTGCTCCAAATTTGGCAATGTCTATACCGGCCAGCGCTAGAGTGGTTTTTAACCAACGGCCGATGGTGTCGGCGGACACTTCTTTATACGGTTTCTGGACGCTAATAAATAATTTATGCTGATTGCCTCTCAATAGCTCTGTTCGTTTGATGTACTCTGAAATATGTGCAACCGGGCAAAGGTTTCTATCCAATGTGTAAGACTTGAACTCAACAGACGTCAAATGTTTATAACAAAAGTACACTTGTTTAAACTTAACTGCATTGTGCTGATATCCAGTGCATGCATTGTTTGCCGACGTTGCCCCGACAACAAGGCTAATAACATTACAACTTTATAAGTGAGCACTTTAAATGTCTGTTCCTCAGGCGGACCCAAGCCAGATAAGTAGTCCAACACCACATTCACATCCCAAGTCTCTCCATAACGTGGTAGAGATGGTCTTGTCTCGAATACACCCTTCATGAGGCGGCTTACTGGTGGGTGAGTTCCAAATGCTTCACTGTCCGATACCATAAGTGTAGTTGATAATGCACTCCTAGCTGTATTTAGAGCACTATACCCAATACCTTCCTTGTAAAGTTCTGCTAGGAAATTTACTCCATCTTCTATAGTTGCTGAAAGTAGATCCATTTTCCTTGAATTACAGTACTGTACCATTTATTAATGTATGGTGTGTATTGTCTTTGTGTACTCTTCCTCCACGATGACAATATGACGGATAAAGCTGCTTCTGATAGTCCTTTATTTTCGAAGGCTTGCCTGAAACATGGCACAGTAGTAGTGTTAATTTGGGATACAGTGGGTGTACAAGGTCTGGTTTGGTGGGTAATTGTAACATCTTCTTGTTGTTCAGGAAAACAACTGGATTCTGGATGACCATGCGCATTAAATATGGCCACCAGGGTTGGGTTGGCCAATTTGGGACCACAATCAGCCCGGTACTCTCCTCCTCTCGACTTTTTTGTAAGACTAATGGTACTATGCTAAGAGGAGGAAATGCATAAAATAAGTATGATTGCCATGAGATTGTGAAGGCATTAACTGCCTCAGCTTCAGGCTGGTAAGCAATAAAAGGTTTCAATTTATAATTTAATCGAGAGGCAAACAGGTCAATAACTGGTTTTACCCCTAACCTCTGGGTACCCTGTTGAAATATTTCTGGGTCTAAGGCCCATTCAGTTTGATCTCTAACTTTTCTAGATTGAGCATCAGCTGCCTCATTTTCTTTGTCTGGTATGTGTGCTGTAGTTAAGAACACCCGATGTATAATACACCAAGTCCAAATTTCTCGAGTTAAGTTGTTGCGATTCCTAGAATGGCTGGTACCCATTTTACCTATGTCTGATACTGCCGTCATGTTGTCTATTCTAACACATACATGTTTACCCAGCAACTGTGTCTGAAAGGCTTTTAGAGCAAAAAATACAGCTAGCATTTCCAAAAAATTTATGTGGTGGGTTGCTTCAGAGGGAGTCCATCGACCCCCGATGGTGACTTTGCCTAAAACACCACCCCAACCTTGATTGGATGCATCGGTAAACAGAGTTACCTCGGGCTGTGAAAGGCCAATGGGTTTAAACAGGCTGTCAGCTGAATTAACCCACCAGTGCAAATCATCATATGATGCTTTTGACAATTTCATATGTCTATCAAAATTTCCTTTATTTATTTTAGTGCCTCAGTTTTGTCCATGTCAAGGTCTCTAAAATGTAAAGGTCCAAATTGCACAGCTGGAAAATTGGATACTAGTACACCCAACACTGACGCCACCTGCCGAATAGTTGGGGCAGCATTTTGTATAAGTTCTGTGCATAAAGCTTTTATTTTTGCCACCTTATCTTTACTGGGGTAAACCCTCATTTCTACAGAATTAATTGTAAAACCCAGAATGGTCATCTGTTGTTTAGGTATCAGGGATGATTTGTCAGGATGGATCACAAATCCTACAGAGTCAAACAATTTTGTTGTGTCTAACACATTACTTGCACAATCATCATAATCGTCACCTTGAAGATAGGAATCATCAATGGGACTGACAGAAATATGACCTAGCTGTCTTAAGTATGAATTAATTGGTTTCAACAGCTTTGTAAACTTTCTAGGACAAAAGGCCAAGCCATTAGGGAAACAAGTAAACTTATACAGTTGCCCTTTCCAATTAAATTTTACATACTTTTGATGTTCTGGATGTATTGGCACTGAATAATATGCATCCTTCAAATCTACTGAAGCCATAAAGCAGTTGGGCTTAACCATGTTTACAATGGTAGAGAAGGACTCCATTTTAAAATGTTTGTATTCGATAAATTTGTTTAGAGATTTGAGGTTTAGGATCATTCTTGCTGACCCATCCTTTTTTGCTGTTGTAAAAATAGGGGAAATATATTCCCCCTTTTCATGTTCCGTAAGAACAACGACGCCTTTCTTAAGGAGAGTTTCAATTTCTACCTCAATTGCCTGTGCTTGTATGTGATTATATGTTCTCTCCTTAGGAACAAATAATTGAAAGGGCTTTTGCGAAAATTCAAGTTTTTGCCCCAATACCATGTCTAAAATCTCAGCGTCTGAGGTAATAAACATCCATTCGTTGTGAAATTCACGAAGTCGACCTGCGTTAAAGCATGCGACTTTATTTTGAAAATATGTTATAAGGGAATTACAAGTCGAAGTATTTACCTGTGTAATGGCGGGAAACGTCGTTGTTGTAGTTAATGCTGGGCATGCTGGTTCTTCTTCCTGGCTTGGAATTGAGGCTTGTTTTGGTAGGGGCGATAATTGTTGCCCCTGCCTTGCCATAAAAAAGCCTTGCCGTCATTACTATTAGGAAATGATTTCCCTTTTTGACGGGATTTTGAGGTGTCAAAATGGCGCCTAGGAAAGGCATTCTGGCCGGCTTGACTCTGGCTGCTCGTAGCTTCTTGGCTGATTTTATTCGAAGCCTTTATGCTGGTTAACCGGGACTGCAAGTCATCCCCAAAGAGGAATTCCGTTATCGGTGTTTGGGACGAACATAAGGATGAATATTCCTTGTTTACGTTCGGTTTTATCAGCTCACGGCGACGCAGCAGGAGCTCGACATGAACGTGACCGAGCATTGCCAAGGCGTCAGTATTGTTGGTCACGAGGTCGGCAAGTTGTTGTTTGAGTTCAGCGTCTGAACTTATGTTTATTCTGATATTCACAAGGGAATCAGTAGATTTAGTTAGAGCAACCCCAACTTTGACGAGTGTTTTTTGAAAGTTGACCAATTTAAGGTCTGCACCTCGAGCAGTATGGTTGAGCTTTGACCAAATCTCAGGGTTTACTTTTGGCAGCGAGCTTCTCGCAATTGTCTGGCCGGTCATATTTTCCCATCTTGCCCTTCAGTTTGGGCTCTTCCAACTTTGAGGACCAACGCTGATTTATAATATCTGCCAGCTTCTGGCTAACCTTTGGTCCTGTCGTAGCTTCATCAGCGAACTCCTGAGCTATCTCGCTCAATAAGTCATCCTCAGCTACTGAGGGGATTGAGTTTGGCGCTTTGCCATTTTGGCCGCCTTCTGTTTGCGGCACGATAAGCTGCTCTGAATCTGAGAGTTCCACTTCTGCGTCAGAGTGTGGACTATCACTCTCTGTTTCTTCAGCAACTCGGAGTCTTTTCGTTGGTCTTTCCTTGTCAGTTTCGACCCGGAAAGACGTTTGAGAACAGATCTCAAATCCTCGCCCATGCTCTTAACCATAGCCTTGAGGTTTAGATTGTCTTCGTCTTTAGAACTGTCTTCTTGCTCGTCTTCACCGGCTAATAACAAAGCTGCTTCTCGCTCCTCCGAAAGGGCGGGGACTTTCAGCAGAGTTAGTCGCAGCCATAGTCATGGATGAATGATTTTAGTCGTTTTAAATATCACTCTGGTTTTCTTTGAACTGACCTTCGCAAGGATCTTGCACAACTGATCTTCCGGTTCGCGCGCTTTCTCATATAATCACATGACTCCGTAGTGACCAATGACCAATGATGAAACAGAATGCATTAGTAACAGTTGTTTTTTCTCGTTAATTTGTTGACAGTACAGTATTTTAAACTGGAACAATCTAATGGAATATATAATTACATTGGTATATGATAATTATGAGTATAATAAACATCTGAGCATTTACACCACCTCCAGATGGCTCGAGAATTCAGGTGTAGCAGTGGTTTAGCCAAGGGGAGAGGGGGGTTACCCCCCCCCCCCACCCCCACAATGGTCCTAAAACTGTTTGCATGAAACCCAGGGACAAATTGGAGTATATTCTAAGCACTCTAGGTATCACATACTGTATGGTTAAAAGGGGAATTTCCCCAGACCTACGTAGTATTCCTTCTTGCAGTATTTTAGCACTTCAAAAAAGGTCCTATATAACACACCACCCAGCCACCAAACCTTGCTACGGTACTGCTAGCCAAGTCAATTTTTACATAAAACAACAATTCTTTCTTTCAAAAATATAACATTTATTTAATAAAAATATCGTGAAATAGATATTTATTTACAACAAGAACATATCAATCAACACATGCACAAAAAACAGCAAAAATTAAGATCTGTGTTGTCCAGTATTGGCTGAAGATGAGTCCTACAGTTTAGCATTTGCTCAGGCTATTTTTCTAGTTTTCAACATGCATCTATTATAGTGGTGTCACAAATATGGGTGTCAATTGATAAACTGTTATTGATGTAGTTCCACATTGTAGAACTAGTCCAATCATACTCTTCAACACAGACCTTTCTAGAGCTGTCGAAACTTCTTAGCAAGGTTTTAAACATCTATGAACAGAGCTCTCAATCTTAGCAGTAACTAGCTGAAGATATATAGAGCAATATTAATTAAAAAAAAACAGCTAACTTCACACTGTACTTGTAATCAGTGTATTTTATAAAGCTCCAGCTCTGGCACTCTCCTAGCAATTGCCTTATCTATGGATGAAGAACAAATAGAACTCTGCAACTTGTTGGTCCAAAGGAAAACCACAGTAGCAGAAGGTACCTATGACTATTTCCTTAGGTATGTAACAATGCTCATTGGCAATAAAATCATGCCACAAAACCATGGCCCACCAGGTAGTTTTTGTCGAGTGTTTAGCAAATTGCGAGAGACGAACATGCTTTGCCTCCCTTCCCTGCATACTATTAATGCCTAAACCCATTGTATATCTCTGAAATAGAATTTTTAAATGTGTTGGTATGGCATACCCTATGGTCCAAACTGTTGGTGTTATTGACCTTAACATAAGGGCATATATATTAAAGAAATATTGACAGGCCTGTTTACATTTTTCAACTTCATCTTCCTTAATGAAAATGTGTGAATAATATGCAGTAGCATCTCGAAGCTGTATGCAACAGAAACTTAACGCCGAAATTTTCTGTTTCACTTCTGGGGGATAATTTTTATCAATAAGGCATTGTATAACAAATGCAAATTTTTGGCTAAATAGTTTTGTTTCTTTTCCAGTGAACTGATAACTGAAAGACTTGTTTCAACCTTCCTTAAACCAGTGCTTCAGCTTTTTAACTAGCCTGGTGACATGTAAGGTGTCTTTCAGTATTGTTAAAAAACCCCAATAAACTTGCATTGACTAGGTAAACTATTAAGTTCTGTGACATTAGGGGGGATTTTTGACTTAGCAATAGCAATTTCCAACATTATATTATATAAGCTTCCCCAACCGTTGTTACTGTTGTGGAGTGGCTCTGCAAGTCCATTATCAATTAGATTACCCAAGAGAGGTTCATGCTCTTGTCTAGAATTTTGCTCACTAATGAAATTCAAAAGCTTATTTCGTTTACTTGCATTGGACAGCTTACTTTGATTTAAGCTCTCCCTTTTATTGGCAACATTTCGGCAGATTTAATTTGCTCGCCATAATCCCATGGGTGCCATGTGCATGCAGAGTCTTTGCCAAAAACCCCATTTGCAGTAGATTTGTTACCTTTGTTTACATTTCCAAATTGAGAAAAGTAATAGGCAGCATTATTCAGGCAGAAAATCTTACTAAATAACCAGCAACGGTGTATGATTGCTTCTCAATATCCAAAATTTCACTCACTAACTTTTTAGCATACCTTTGCATACCCAGAGGAGGTTGGGTGACTATACCGGCATGCATTGCGGTCAGGCTCATTTTGTTACATATTATCGATTTCTCGGCAGTGCACGTCATTGTTCGGTAGCTTTCGCGGAAGTCAGAACTGGAGAAGTATTTCAATATTGCAACTAAAATGGCAAGTTTTCACTGCATTCGAGGGAAGAATGTTTCAGTATTGAATGGACAAGAGCTTCTGTTTATTCATTGTGCGAATGTGTGTCTAAAAAAACTTTAGTCTTGATCCCAAGCAGATTACCGTGTGTCGAACTTGAATGTTGTGAGAATGTGAGAATAGCGCTATGTCCATCGGTTGTTTACTTGTTTATATAAATGGAAATTGAAAGAAAGTCTACGAAATGTTCGCTGAATGCAGTCCTGCATTTATAGAAATACAATTCCAGCTGCATCTTTATGGTAAGATGATTTAGATGCATGTTGTTTACTTTAATTCATTGTGTTGTCTAATTTATAAAAGTTTGTGCAAATACTTGAATGAGTTAAATCCTATGAAAATGTTGACATGATTATAAATATACGTACATCACATGTTTTCAATACAGGAATTTTGTCTATTTGTCTATATTAGTTTTATTTAGCTGGGGGGGGGGGGAATATTTGATTGAGGACTGGAAAATTAACTCCATTAAGATGCAATGTACCTGACACTGTATAAATACAACCTACTTTATTATTTTATTCTGCCTAACACCAGGCAATGTTATTTGTTGAAAATATTCAGTGATAAAGATGATTGCCACAGCTTTGTAGAAAGCATGTTTTAGTTGTTTTAGCAGCCCAATTGAGATACGTATAGGTCTTGTACACCTATAAACGCAGTGCATAACAAAGACAACAAGTCTGTGCTCTCTTTGTTTATCTCTCAGTTGTTTTCATCAATGGAAGTGGTTACACATGAGGATATTCTTGCCATAACATGGACAGGATGAAGATGATATGATGAATGATGGCGATATAGCTCTGGAGATGAAAGCTGTTACTGGTACTTCAATATAGCTGTGAACCTTGGTTGCATTACAATACCCTTCATCTTCAATGGAAGGCTTAATTACTATCTTGGCATAAAAAGAATCATGCACTGTACTACCATACGAAATGTGTGATGCTATGCTGTACTGCATTGAAACAACCACTACTAATAGTGTTTGCCATAAATAGAAATGCAAAATTGGTTTTGGCAGAGTCTCGTAATACTGACTGTTCTAGCACTCAAAATAACGGGTCAAGGGTCAATCATCTGGCACAAAATAATATATAGTAGTTCATAAATTGTGTATTTGACCCCAAAACTCTGGTTTGAACATCATCCTGCCCTATTAAATACCCTGATTTGTTTCAAGTGCTGTTTTTTGTTTGTGCTGTATTGAGAACTGACTGTGGTTATACCCAGGTTTTCTTTGCCCTGCAGGTTATTTCTTGGCATTTCCTATTATATGCAGCTGTAGCATAAGTGTGGTATTCTGTGATGCCTGATCATGCCATCTTACCAATTCTGCAGTTTTATATGGCTAATAATAAACAATGAACTGATTAAATACCTGCTAACAGTCTTAACACATGGTATGGTTTTATTTATTTCACTCTTATAAAAGATACTTAAGTAAACAGATCACACAGAATTGATGTTCAATAAAATTTATTTCTGTCAAACTACAAAAAATGTTAACATTACTTTAATTATGCTACATGAAAGGTGAATGATAAAAATACACTGTATACAAATAGTGATGCTTTTTTCTCTTAATCGTGTACATTAAACATTCTAGAGGAATTACTGTATATTTCTTTGTAAACCTGTAAAATTGTAATCATTTGTGTTTGAACCTCGCTGCAAAATAACCACACCAAAATGGCCACACTCTGTTGCTGATTCCATGACAGGCTTAGATTTACGATTAGATTTACTTAGATTTAAGTTCTGCTAAACCGTCAGATTGGGTCAAACGATAATGGATGTCAGCATCTTGCAAACTTTTTTCTGTAGCAATCAGTTGTTCATGTTCGTAGACGGCAATCTATATAAAGTATGAACAACAGATAAAGCGGTATAATTTATGATAAGGACACATTTTCACTCTATATTCACGTTTTTTTTTTGTTTTTATTAGCTTCGCCAACTAGGGCAGGGTCACCACAACAGCATATGCCAATTACTGTGGGCCCTTTTTACCTAACCCAACCTGTCCCACTATGTCATCATACTGCTGCTCTATGACCTGAAAATTTTACTTGAAACTTCAAAACAACTAAATTGCCAAATAGGACCTTTAATGGAAACAACTTTTGAATTTTGCAGGTAGTTACCCTTATTATAAAGAACTCTAACAAACTTTATACTTGACAGCAGAATGTTTGAGGAAGTACTGCATATTTGGATATGCATGGCACCATCATCCCAGAAACAGTTCTTCACATTATATTACAACCCATTGAGCCACAATGCGCCTTACTTATTTTTTTACTTGTCTAACACCAGACGATTTTACTCATCAATGCCAATGGGGGAAGCTTTGCAGCTTAATGGGTTAACCAAAAAATCTGACAATGTCTTTAGTTAATCCATTGAGCCGCAATGCGCCCTACTTATTTTTTTTACTTGTCTAACCCCAGACATTTTACTCGTCAATAGGGAAGCTCTGCAGCTTAATGGGTTAAACAATGGCCACTTTTCAACATGTGTTCCATACTGATACTTTGGATCTGTTTTGATAATTGATATGAATTCAGTAAGTGCCCTATCTTTCTCAAAGGTCCATTTATGATATTTTACTGGGGACTTCTTTATAGGAGTCTGATAAATCTTTCTGCTAGGAAAGTACAAAATAAACAGTGTAAACTTCAATATTTAAATCGGAAATTGCTCTTCAGTTGAACAACAATCTTCAGTCGTACTGTATTTTTATTATATTTTACAGTAATATTGTAATCCAGGATTCTGAAACACGGTCAGTAGACTCAGTACAGTTAAATGTGGAAACATGTATGAGTTTGTTCCAAAGAATTTGAAGAAAATAGTGATTCATACTGTAGTTTTTACTTCGCGCCAAATGATAACCGCGCGATCAATTCCCGCCCTTGGCGAAAGAATATAGCAAAAGTACCCCATTTTCAAACTGCGATTACTTGTCGATTTCGTCGAGCTACTTTGAGTTTTAAAGTACGAATGGAAAGAATAAACTTTCATTAATTCGCTGACGTGTTTTATTTTAATTTCCCATAAAAAAAATGAAAGTAGCTTCTGCATTTTTTGAAAGCCACTTTTGTGGCGTGTCCACTGACCCGAATCAAGCATAAATACAATACGTAATCAACTTAACTAAAAAGCAATTCCTGTACCAAACAAGTCAAAAATAGTTTAATTAGGTTCTTAAATAATACAAATATAAAAACATACCTTCGAAAAAATGATGTCTTCAAAGATAAAAATCGCAATATATTTCAACAACTTTTCACTAAACGTTTGTCGAAAATCGCAATTGTGAAAATAATGAGACGCAATGCATGCCGGTATAGTCACCCAACCTCCTCTGTTGCATACCTATGTGGCCTTCAGAACAGTTTGCCCCACATATGATAAAATTATCATTTTCACTTTGAATGTGTTGTGCCATGTTAATGAAAGAGACAAGCCATGCTGTAGCTTCTTCTTTGCCAAAAGGGGCACCATCAGCCCCTAATGCAACCCTAAAGTCATATATTGGCAGACTTCCAAAATGCCTAATAAACGATTTAGACCCTAATGCTTGATCAATTAAGATATATAGCTCTGCTAATACTAAAAGGTAACTACAAAGATCTCTATAAGACCCACTAACTGGATCTTCAAATGCTTCCAAGCCTTGACAAATGCATCAGAAAAGTCTTTGATATTGTCAATGTCGACAGACTTAACAAATGCAATAAGCTTATCGTAGTATACAAGTTTTGCATTAGTGATTGTAGGAGAAGATTCTGTGCATGGTACTGAAATAATGCTTTGACATATAGCTTTGTATTTTTCCTTCGAGAAAAGTCCTTTTGTATACAGGACCTTCAAGCTTCTTACCAAGTTATCATGGCTCTCTTCATACCCTTTAGTTTGGGTTTTAACTACCATGGGGATAATCTTTTGCATTTTGGGTGATGCTTCAACATATGAATGCAGCTGTTGTTCGGAACATTTATTGGCTAACATTACCCATAAACCATCAAGGGCAGCTTTGTTACCTAGACAAATTATAAATGAATGGAGATTTTTGGTAAGAATGTGAATGCAGGTGAGCAAGTATTATTTATACCAGCACTGAGAGGCTGTTTACATCAGTCCGAGGCGCCAGACCTCTTTCTAATTTCCTTTAAATGTAACATTTTAGTGTACAATTATGGGCTTGGTTTGCTGAGATCCCAGCTGAGCCAACAGGGGAGCCCAGTCAGCCGAGGCTCATGTAAACAGCCCCTAGGAGTGATTTGTATTATCCGCATATTTAGGCAGATGTGACCATATTCTGTAATATACCTGTAGGTATATTTCATATTTGTAATGAGAGTACCATTACCTTCACTGTTTCTGTGAATAATTTCAGAGGGGTCCAGTGTTTCTTTACATCTTCTTTGGGCAGATCTTACTGGCATATCCGAGCATAGCTTCTCAGAGTTGTCTGGACATAACGTTGATGGTGTCATCTGTCTTATTCTTTCTTTCCTTTTAGAAAATCCTGTAAAGGTTTTGGGTTCAAGTCGCCTTTGTTTTTCAGACAACGCCTGCTCATTTAAACACAGATCAGCTAACTTCTCCTTATGGCGATCAATCTAACAATTTAATTGTTATAAGAACCTTTAATTCACGAAAAAATTATATTAATTTTACACATGTCAATATTGCAAGGGACATGGTTATTAGCCTGCATTTATTCATCCTACCTAATGTACTTACTTATACCTCAACCAGTAGCGTATAGCACATTTATACAATACACAGTCTTCTACATTGCACAAATACAGTGCATATCAAAATGAATTTATCAAATTTGCTGCTTAGTAATGGATATTAACTTTTCCTCACCCTTTTTTGACACTTTATCTATGTTGTGTTGTACACAGTCCAGTTCGTTTACCAATTCTACACGTTTGACATCGGCTTCAAGGTAACTATCTCTCAAACGTTTTTGTTTCCTCGCGAGTTCGCCAATGGGACATCACTTCCATGATGCAGCTTTGTTTATAGAAGACATCGTTTACAAGAAAACATGGGATGATAAGAGTGTTTGATCAGCATTAATTTATCTTTTGCACATGTCAATATTGCAAGGGACATGGTTATTAGCCTGCATTTATTCATCCTACCTAATGTACTTACTTATACCTCAACCAGTAGCGTACAGCACATTTATACAATGCACAGTCTTCTACATTGCACAAATACAGTGCATATCAAAATGAATTTATCAAATTTGCTGCACAAAATATTTAAGTATTTTTTAGTAATGAATATTAACTTTTCCTCACCCTTTTTTGACACTTTATCTATGTCGTGTTGTACACAGTCCAGTTCGTTTACCAATTCTACACGTTTGACATCAGCTTCAAGGTAACTATCTCTCAAACGTTTTCATTTCCTCGCGAGTTCGCCAATGGGACATCGCTTCCATGATGCAGCTTTGTTTATAGAAGACATCGTTTACAAGAAAACATGGGATGATAAATAGTGTTTGATCAGCATTAATTTATCTTTTTATTGAACTTAAATCAGAGTTATGGTTATGGTTTCGATTTTTTTAAATAACTCCTAACCAGCTATTTTCTACATATTTTTTACCGGGCAGCAAGAAGAACACATCTGTGCACTGATATTTTCATTTTTCTGTGTGCCCGCCATTGACTTTTGTGAATTTTGAGAGTATATAGGTATATAGAGGATCTCAAAGATAAATTTCAATCATACTAAGCTATCACATTTTGAACCTAATCACCCCCAATCGTAATTTATTCACGGAGTCATAGCTCCGCCAATTGGCGGCCATTTTGATATTTTGGGGGGACATTTGAATTTTTTTACCGACAAATATATGGCTGAATTTTCCGGTGTTCTAGCCCGGTGTGTGAAGCAAACTTGCCAAAGTCCATGTGGATTTATGCTGTTATGGCAGCAGCCCACATCAGAAATTGTTGCTTCAATGCGAGATTGGGCAAAACTCCTTATGAGGCATTTACAGGGTCTAAACCAGATTTGAGCAATATGCATGTCTTCGGTTCTGTTTGTTACGCATATGTGCAAAATGCAAAGAAATTAGATCCTAGAAGTAAACAGGGTATATTAAGTCCTGCATATCTTGTCTTTTATCCTGATTCCAATAAGGTTGAACGTGTAAGGTGTGTGAAATTTTTCAATGAGAGCAACCATGAATCTAAGGTTAATCCTGACAAACAGGAAGGGGAATTTCTGCCCAGTAAAGTGTCTGTACCTATTGCCAATGAGACTGTAATATCAACACAAAGGAATGAAAGTGCAAATGTCACTGAAACTGTGCATGATGAAGTATGGTACCCTAGTCGAACTCGTACTAAGCCAACATATTTGAATGAATATGTAACTGGTAAGGTTGTTGATGATGCGGCAACATGTGCAGTTGATTATTGCTATAGAACCCATGACATTCCAACTAGCTATTCCAAGGCAGTACATTCTCCCGAAAGAAATAAATGTGAAAAAGCCATGGATGATGAAATTGAGGCCTTAGAGGGCAATGAAACTTTCGAGTTGGTCCCACCCCCAAAGGGCCATGAGGTAGTGGGGGGAAATGGGTGTATACCAGGTGCCAAAAGAATGAGTCCGGTCCCAATTTTTGGCAAAAACTTGAGAAGTGTGTATCTTCACTTGCTTTAGCTGCTTGTACATGCACATTGAGATCTGAAATTGTCTCCCACATTTTCTTGGTGAACTATTTTGCAATATATAATTTGAAAATAAGTTTCCTAATCCTCTACATGCATGTTCAATGGATTATGAAGAGTGGGAGTTAGAGGACAGATTATTGGTCCCATGATTAACGAAGGTTTCGTCACAGCTACAAGTTTCTGCAAAGATAGGAGTGTCGAAAGGTGCTGTGCAGCGAACTGTGGAAAGGTTCGGAAAAACACAATCCTATTCCGGCCTTCCAAAATCTGGGGGACCAAGGACAGCAATAAGATCAGTTCATAAAGCTAACTTCTTTGCACAATAGAAGAGCAACTGATGGTAATATTCAATCGTAAATTAACGCCATCCAAGAGAAAACAGTCAACAAAACAACAGCAAGAAGGAGATTGGCTGCAAGTGGGCTCAAAGGAAGAGTTGCAGTTTCTAAACCATTGCTGCATCCTATAAATAAGTGCAAGAGATTATTATGGGCCAAAAAGGTCAAAAACTACAGAGTAGAAAACTGGAAAAGAGTACTTTTTACCGGTGAACGTTTGAAGTTTGTGGCTGAAATTGGATTGCGTTTTTCTGAACCTTTCCACAGTTTGCTGCACAGCACCTTTCTACACTCCTATCTTTGCAGCAACTTGTCGCTGTGACTAACCTTCGTTAATGGGAGCAATAATCTGTCTTCTAACTCCCATTCGTCATAATCCGCTGAACATGCGTGTAGAGGATTAGGAAACTTATTTTGAAATTATATATTGCAAAATGCTTCACCAAGAAACAATTTCAGATCTCAATGTCCATGTACAAGCAGCTAAATCAAGTGAAGATTACACACTTCTCAAGATTTTGCCAAAAATTGGGACTGGACTCATTCTTTTGGCACCTAGTGTATACTGTTAAGACAGGACCAGATAAGGCTGAAAATACAAAGCTTGTTATGTAACAAAAGGCTAGTCACAGATTCTTGGTATTGATTACCATGAAACCTTTCCCCAACCGCTCGGATGAGCTCTGTTCGTGTTTTACTACAACAGGCAATTCAGAATGATATGCTTGTTCATCAGATGGACGTGAAAACAGCCTATTTAAATGCCCCAATAGACTGTGAGATTTTCATGGAACAGCCAGAAGGCTACGAAAGGGTAGGATAAAATGGTGAGAAGTTGGTATGCAAAGCAGAGTGGATGCAATTGGAACAACATGCTACATAATTACCTCATGAAGGAGAGCTTCACTCAATCACTTGCTGACCCATGTGTTTACATTAGAAATGGTGGTACAAATGAATGTACAATTATCATCATTTGGGTTGATGATCTCATAATTTCTGCTAGCCATGAAATTCTTTTGCAAAGCATGAAAGATTCAAGTAGTAAATTTAGATTGAAGGACCTAGGGGTATTGTCATGGTTCCTAGGTACAGAATTCAAGTGTTCTGAAGGTGCAATTGAAATGAGCCAAAAGCAATATATTGAGAAATTGCTGTTAAGGTTTGGCATGGCAGAATGCAAGCCAAAGGTGACCCCAACAGTACTAGGTTTAGATAAGGTTGTGGGAACGGAATCACCTGAATTGAAAGATCCAACTTTTTACAGAGTGATAGTTGGGAGCTTAATATATGTGATGACAGGTACAAGGCCTGATTTGTGTTATATAGTCACTAAGCTTTCCCAAAACATGTCGAAACCCACTGAAACTAATATTATTGCTGCAAAACATGTTCTAAGGTATTTGAAAGACACAATTGAGCAAAACTTGAGATTTAGGAAATCTGAGAACACTTTAAAACTTATTGGGTTTTGTGACTCAGATTGGGGAGGTGATGTTTGTGACAGGCGTAGCATATCTGGCTATGATTTTCAGTTGTTGGACGAGGGTGCTTTAGTTTCTTGGAGAAGTCAAAAACAGCCAACTGTTGCACTGTGTGCATGTGAGGTCTGGTATATGGCACTGACAGATGCAGTGCAGGAAGCCAAGTTCTTAAAGCAATTGTGTGTTGATCTAAATATTGTTCAGGTAAATGGTGACAACCAAGGTGCAATCAATTTAGCTAAAAACCCTATGTACCATAAAAGATTAAAACATATCAATGTGAAGTATCATTTTGAAGTGAAGTTCGAACAGGTAGTATAGTATTAGCATATATTCCAACAGACGAGAATGTAGCAGATATTTTTACAAGGCCATTTAGTAAAGTCAAGTTAGATAAGTTTGGACCATTTATTTCAGGTAAGTATCATTCAGCAGCATAAGAGCAAGTGGGGGTGTTAAGTTATGCTCATAATACTTCATATAATAATAATGTAATCAGTTGTGATTTTAGTTAACCAATGATATGATTAAGACAATGAATACAATATATTTCCTGTATTTCCATATATAGCACGATTAATAATTATTCTGACCAATTGTAATTTAGCACATTGGAACATAAATGCACTTGATGTAAAATAAAATTTAGTTCTTGTATGCTTCCACAGAGTGTGTATCTCTTGTAATAAAGAATGACAATTATATAATAATGACAACTACAATGAACTCAACAATGGCAAATGTGCATACTATTAATACGGTTAGATCGCGAAACAATCGACAAATCTTTTTAGTCTCAAGCAAATTCTCTACCCCGGGGCTAACTTGCAGAAAGCAAATGCCCAACCCTGGGAACAAGTACAGTTGATAATGCCCGACAAACGCCCAGGGGGTGGGGGGGGATGGGGCACCCATGGAATTAGCGACCTTAAGCATCGAGAACATTGCCGTCCAGAACGTTGTCTAATGACCGAGCTTTCCTGGGACGAGAATATTTTGTTTTGCGTGACCGTCGCCACGAAGATGACGTTAAGCACTGACGAGACACAGTACCGCAGGTAGCTTTGAAAATGTAAACAAAACAAAAGTTCATTTCTTGACTTCTTGTCATCCATATTTTATCGGTCATGGGCTCTTTTAAGGAAAACCGTAAGATGCTAATGTTATCCTTTCAAAATAACTGGATCACAGAAGGTGAATTTGTATTACTTTATGAAGCAAACTGCTCAAAAAATTTGATTTTTCCTCATGCCGAGTACGATCGCTTCAACCTCCAAGACATGGACGAAACAGAGTGTTTGAGAGAATTTCGTGTTCGCAAACTGGACGTACCTCGCTTGGCTGATGCCCTTGGTCTACCAGAAACTTTGAGCTGTCCACAGAGGACGAAAACAGGACGAATTGAAGGACTCTGTATACTGTTAAAGAGACTTGCTTACCCCTGCAGATATAGCGACCTAATTCATCGTTTTGGCCGTGCAGTACCCGAGTTAAGCATGATTTATAACACGATGGAGGACTGGATATATCAGCATCATCATGACAAAATAACCCAGTGGAATGATAACCTGCTAAATAGTAACGCTCTCCAGTTATATGCCGATGCTATAACACAAACAGGAGCTGCTTTGACCAACTGCTTTGGCTTTGTCGATGGTACGGTGCGCCCTATTTGTCGTCCAGGAGAAAATCAGAGGATTGTGTACAACGGACACAAGCGAGTTCACGCTTTGAAATTTCAGTCTTTGACCCTCCCAAACGGAATCATTGCCCACCTGTTTGGTCCTGTAGGTAAGCGAGCAGCTGACAAACAGCACATTATTCGATCATTGTTTTTGTTACATATTTACTGAAATTCACAAGCCGGTATGTAAACAAAGCCTCCGAATGGTCGCTGAACAATAGTAAGCCAATCAAATGCATTGTTTACAAACCGGTTTGTGAATATGATTATGACCTTTTGAACTTCCCAAGTTTAATCCCAACGAAGTTTGTAATGAAGTTCGCAACATTCAGGGAAACGTTATGTGAAATCAACTGTAACTGCAGACATTACATTAATTTACCTGTAATTTGTATCAATTGAAGAAATATGCCAAATCCTGGCCATAACAATTCATATAATAAATTTATATAAGCTCTATGTATAGGAAATAGCTATAAACAGTATAATATAATGTAACAGAACTGAGTATTACATTTAATGCCTGTATTCTAAAAGCTCACACTCAAAGAGTGAAAGTTCAATCTGAGCTTAATTCCTTGGGTGTCAGTGCGGTTTTTGAATGGCTGGAGGGTTAGTATTGTACCTTACTATATGTGACTATTCACCCTTCAACTATTCAAAAACAGCATTGACACTCAAGGGAAGTTTAGATTGAACCTCCACTCTTTGAGTGTAAGTGAGATTTTAGATTGCAGGCATATCATGTCAATTGCCTGTTGTTGTTAATTCATTGTTATGATACTATAGAAGGGAAAAAACACGACTCCGCCATGCTGACAGACTCTGGTCTCCTTGAGGAACTTGAGCAACATGCTTTTTCACCAACAGGAAATACCATATGCATTTATGGTGACCCAGCCTATCCCCTGAGGATACATCTACAAGCACCATTTCGTAACAGGGCTCTCACACCACAAATGGAAGCATTCAATAAATCCATGAGCTCTGTCCGTACATCTGTGGAGTGGATTTTTGGAGATGTAATCAGTTCATTTAAATTTTTAGATTTTAAAAAGAACCTTAAGATTGGTTTGAGCACAGTCGGTAAACACTATATCGTTAGCTCACTACTGCGAAATGCTTTGACTTGCATGTACAGAAATACTACATCTAAATACTTTGGTGTTGATCCTCCTTCTGTAGAGGAATACTTTGCATAGCCAATCACACGCGAAAGAATGCAATTAATGATTGACCCATTAAGCGCCAGCGCTCCCCCCTTGACAAGTAAAATCGTCTGGCATTAGACAGAGTAAAATAATAAAGAAAGGCGCACCCAGAGGCATAGCCAAGATTTTTGGTCAAGGGGGCCAGCAAAAACCTCGGTGTGGCCAGGCTTCTTTTCTTAGGGGGGAGCCAAAATTTTACCAAGGGGTGGCCCCCTCCCTGGCTATGCCTCTGGGTGCATAAGGGCACAATGAGACCCAATGGGTTAACTTCAGACACAGTTGCACAGATAGGCCAGTTAACACATTAAGCACAAGGCACAGATAGGCCAGTTAACACATTAAGCACAATTTTACCCTTGATGGTTAAAATTGTCTGGTATTAGACACAGTAAAATAATAAAGTAGGGCGCATCAGGGCGCAATGCGACTCAATGGGTTAAAATTACAAGTGTTACAAATTACAATTAAAATCACAAGCAGTGCACTGTTAATTCAAAAGAGTCATTTTGACTCCTTCAAAGGAGTCGTTTTCTTGACCCCAGGACGACCCCTTCAAGAGAGTTATTTTGACTCCTTTTGGGTTGACACCTGTAAAGAGTCATTTTAACCCTTTTAATAGAGTCATTTTGACTACCCATGGAGTCGTTTCAAAATGACTCTTGGAAGAGTTAGAATGCAAATTAACTCCTCAGACGTGTCGTTTTACTTTGATTTGGAGTCATTTCGACTCCTCTTTGGCATCGATTTTACTCTTCTTTGGGGGGCATTACGACTCTTCTATGGCATCAATTTTACTCTTATTTGGAGTCATTTCGATCCCTCTTTAGCATCGATTTTACTCTTATTTGGAGTCATTTCGACCCCTCTTTAGCATCGATTTACTCTTATTTGGGGTCATTTCGACTCCTCTTTAGAATCGATTTTACTCTTATTTGGAGTCATTTCGACTCTTCTTTACCATCGATTTTACTCTTATTTGGAGTCATTTCGACTCTTCTTTACCATCGATTTTACTCTTATTTGGAGTCATTTCGACCCCTCTTTAGCATCGATTTACTCTTATTTGGGGTCATTTCGACTCCTCTTTAGAATCGATTTTACTCTTATTTGGAGTCATTTCGACTCTTCTTTACCATCGATTTTACTCTTATTTGGAGTCATTTCGACCCCTTTTTAGCATTGATTTTACTCCTATTTGGAGTCATTTCGACCCCTCTTTAGCATCGATTTACTCTTATTTGGGGTCATTTCGACTCCTCTTTAGAATCGATTTTACTCTTATTTGGAGTCATTTCGACTCTTCTTTACCATCGATTTTACTCTTATTTGGAGTCATTTTGACTCCTTTTTAGCATCGATTATACTCTTATTTGGGGTCATTTCAACTCTTCCTTGGCATCAATTTTACACTTATTTGGGGTCATTTCGACTTCTGTTTGGCATCAGAACAGTTTTACTCTTATTTGGTGTAATTTTGATTCCTGTTTGGCATCAATTTCACTATGGTACTGTTCATCAATATTAGTTTCATGAAGCTTGCACATACAAAAGCAGAGTTTGCGTAAATGATGTTTAATAATGTATATGCAGTGAGTATTACAGCATACCATATGCAGGTATGTTTCTTTGAAGAGAAACTATATATATGTATAATAAATATCTATAAGCACGAGGCCTTAAAATATCGGCCAGCAGACCGTCTGTCAAATGTCCGGTGTCTTTAATAATGGGTCGGAAATACATTTTTAATTAATATTAAAATATGACAAATGGCCATATGTTTTAGTCAACCTCGTACCGTCCCCGATCCTCAATTCCCTTTGGTCGGATCTCCGTGACCGATCGATATTTTAAGGCCTGCAAGTGTAAGTATAATAAATCTCAAAAATATATAAAAATATTTAAACATGATATAATACCGTAATTAAGTTCCGAATGATCAATCATTGTTTTGTTGGATGGCCATCATGGCATGCACCACCTCCGTCACCCGCACCGACATTTTAGAGGAGTCAATGCTTAACATTGCATGCTCAAGGAAAATCATGACGTCTTTTACCATTGTATAGTCAAATCATACACATAGTAACATGATATTAACGCAACTAAAACATCTACAAGTTTGTCGTCTCTACTCAGGTCACACAGCAATTTATGTTCCCCTGCGATGTAGATTAGGTCTAGATGATATACAGAGTGCATGTCTAAAAAAAACGCTAAGGAAATTAAACAGGCTGTCGTGCATCATAAACGTGGCTAAACAATTCAATTTTTACATAGAACGAAAGAACAGTTATTTAGCTTTTCAATGATACTCTTTTTAAGTCGTAACGATGAGAAATGGCCACATATACTCGTCAAATAAAAATTGCCTGTCGAAATCACATTCTTCCACCGTTGGGAATTGCATCGAAAACGAAACATAAACAATTCCCAAGAGGGAATTAAAATTGAATGTTAAATTATCTAGAATAAGCTGAACTCGTCAATCTTCGTCTTAGTGAGACAATATAACTCAATACGAATTTGGTACGAAACATGGTTCAATTAACCCCTGAACAGAGAACATTCGTTATCAAAACGTTTTATGAAACAAATAGCTTGCAGCAGACTCGCGTTGCTTTTGGATTGACTAGCTTTGCATAATTAATGTCTATTCTCAATTCCCAACGGTGGAAGAATGTGATTTCGACCGCCAATTTTTATTTTTATTTTATTTATTTTTTTTTGTTTATTAACTTTACAATCATACAAAAATTATAAAAATTATTGAAGGTGTGGTCAACAGGACATGAGTCCCATGTGAAGACCAACCTGAATTTGACGAGTATGTAGCCATTTCTCATCGTTACGATTTCAAAAAGGTATCATAGAAAAGCTAAATAAGAGCTCTTTCTTCCTATGTAAAAATCGAACTGTTTACCTACGTTTATGATGCACAACAGCCTGTTGAATTTCCCCAGCGTTTTTTTAGACACCCTGTAAATCCGACCCACTCAATAAAACGATGGGCGAAATTGCCTTCTTAATCAAAGCGTCCATGTTATCGTCTTTCTAAAAAGGAAATATCAAATCAGAAAATAGATGTGTTTGCATGGGTTAGTAGAGGCATCTGTAGGGAAGGGGGAGGGGGCATTTTTTAGGGGCTCTGGGGTAGCTCGTTGATCCCTGTGCTTGTAAAGCTTGCTTTTTAACTTTTAATACAGACTATACCTTTAGTAACATGACGACCTTCTCTTCACCGTTGTTCTTCCTTCCAATAATTGCCAAAATCGCTGCTCTTTGGTTGTATTCTAAAAATTAAAAATGCAAAAAGGCCCCAGAAATTAATGCTAAAGACTAGTAACTCAATAGCATGCATGTTAACTGTTAAGCGACTGGAACGCTTGAGCGCCTGGAACGCTTACTAATTTTATACTATATATATACCATGCATATAATGAGATTCATAAACTTTTTATGAACTTGTAACACAATAATGGTGATAGAACAAATGGGATGCCCATGTTATTAACCGGGTAGGCTTGAAAAATATGCCTGGCCACGGTGGGAATCGAACCTACGACTTTGGTTCTGGCCAGGCATATTTTTCAAGCTTGCCCGGTGTGGATATACACTCAGAGTAACATCACAAGCATCATATTCACCTGAGTACATTACGCCAACCCAGAAAAAAATCCCCATGGGTATTCAGTTTACATTAGCATTAGCTAGAGATTGAAGTTTCAGATATCCAACATATCAATCGAATTAAGGTTCTGATAAATTAAATAATTAAAAAATTAAACTGAATATTCTTACCTGACCTGAAAATAGTGAAAGAACTTTGCGGAAACCAGGTCAATGATAGAAGGAAAGTGTTAAAATTGGTGGTTGGGATCCTATTCTTTTCACAGCAAATTCCTGGAATTTTCTATTCTCTGTAACTGTATACCCCAGTGTCTGCTTCAATTCCCATGAATGTATTGAAATTTAACTTCATTTAACATAATTTGACAAGTCAGAAAAGTGCTGTAATCAATCTAAAGCTATAAGTGATTGTAAAAGGCAAATGGTTAGTTTATCTCATTTGTCAAATATTGGTGGATTGACATGCATGATATACTAATTTTTCAGAATTATTTAAAATGTTGATAATATTAAATACCACAAGATATGGAGTGGCAGTTGTTTCAAGCATATATGTTTGAACTATGACAACTATAGTATATAAATGGTTTATGTGACACGATCATGATTTAATACTGCATCAATGAATCATCATTATTAATTATCATGATTTTAATAGCCATACATTTATTTGTATCAAATAGAATATAACATCTTTTTCCATGCTAGTACCCCATTTATTTTTATAATTTGCTATGTACTTTGGGGTATACAAATTTTGTTAATATATAGTCTAAAACTTAATTCATATCATAGGCTAATATTGTAGAATAGGCAAACTAAACAACAAGGCTTAAGCAATAAAATTTGATAAATAGAGGTCACTTTCAGTTTAACAAGGGGTAAGGGGCTTATCTAGCTAGGTAAGCCTTGAGTCAGAATATTAAGGGGGTAGAATCCCAACAAGGAAGAGGGCTCACCTCCTGAGCTTCCCCCCACCCCCACCTGACTTTGCCTTCTGCCGTGGCATCTTTATAAATATCCAAGCTTAGATAGATAAAAAATTTCAATTTAAATCAGATTTAATTCTTAAACCCGCTCGTGGTTCAAATCAAGAAGGGTAAAGCTTGATACTAGTAAGAAAATGGTAAAATAAACAACAAAATAAGTCGAAATAGTGGACAAATTCAAGCTAGACATACAAGGTAAAAACAATAAAAAAGAAACTCTGGCCGTGATTCTTGTAGTTATGCTAGCTTGGAGGCTTGAACGATAAGCGAAATATATATGCTATATACTAAATATTATAGTTAAAATATATCTAGACAAACGAGAACAAAGTCAAATAATGTCAAATCAGAGCTGTCAAATGAATTTCTGTGGTCAAAAGTCTGGAGAACAAAGAAGTCAAGAGCTCAAGAGGGATCTGAAAAACATTCTAAAAGAAAATATAACCGACTAGATATGAAGTAAAATCTACTAACCTTTTTTTGAGAGTCCAAATAACAACTTTCATTGTTGATTGAGCTGTGAAATAAAGTCTTTTTGGTGGAGAAATAAAAGCCATTTTGTTGTTTTGTCGGATATTTTGCTCAAAACAAACGTCGTATTTCCAAACATTTTAAGTTTTAATCGTCGTATATCTTTCACAAAAGGCAGCATATACTCCACATTTTTCCTTATGGTGCTCTATTTTGTCCTATCGACACGAAAATAATATGTTTTGGTGCTTTTTTCTGAGTAAAAAAAGCTTGCAGTTTGTTGTCAAAAAAATATTTTTGTTCTGACTTCGCGGCTTCGAAGATAAATATGGCTACGTGATTGGTCAATTTTCCCGCCAAAGAACATCTAGCCTGCAGTTGCGGGCGGTAGACGGTTAGGGTGATGAGTGATTAGGGTAATCAGTAATATGGTGGTGTACTATATTACTTGTTTGTAGCTGTGTGCAACTATCTTCACATTTTCTTTCTTGCTTTGATAACTACACCAAATTGCCATATTAATGGCAAAAAATAAATTCTACGTTTTTTTTGCCGTCTTGAACGTATACGCACTCTTTGCCCTAATTTAGCTACAATCTTGGACAAAATCCTTGAGACCATTCCAGCCAATATTACAAAGTTATTGAACATTGCCAAACTAATTTTGTCTCCCCCTCCCCCCAATTCAATGTTGTGAACAACGCCGAAACAACTTTTGGTAATATACCATGATACAATCTCAACATTGAGTTGGGGGAGCGGGGAGTTAAGAATGGCGTTTATCATAAAATTACGCGAACTTTCTATAGGGGGAAAATACCGGGCAGTCTTGAAAAATATGCCTGGCCACAATAAATCATCAAATACCTATAATAATAATTATTGTTAGTGTTTTATTGTTTTTATAGGGTTGTACAATTTTCACAGTATTGTCAGATACGACGTCACCTATGCCGTCATGTAACATTATTTCTGGGATGATAAGCCATTGAATCAATAACTTAACTGTTTCAGGAATATTAGTTATGCAGGTACTTTCCCCATTTCAGAAAGTCCCAAAAAAGCTCAGTCTGAATCGGGTTGTTCCAGCTGATATTTTTAAGAGATATGGAACATTTGTGTATAATATGTTTTTATGTGTACATATCCTGTTCCAGCTGACATTTTTAAGAAATATAAAACATATATGTGTAATATATATTTATATGTAAATATTTGTATATGATACTTGTGTCATATTAAATGAATATTTGTTTAATGTGTTGACTTGTACATTATTTGCTTCAAATACAAAGGATTTGTAATACATGTAGCATGCCGAATGATTTCAATTTAATATATTAAACAAATTATTTGTTTTATATAAGTGGCTGTTATAAAAGCCAGAATGACTCTAAGAAAGAGTTACATCACTGTACGAAAGAGTGCTTAGACGCTAAGAAAGAGTCATATGGCTCTAAGAAAGAGTCGCATGACTCCATGTGTACTCTATTTAAGAGTCTATTGACTCTCGAGAGAGTCTTGTGACCCTTAGAAATAACTTAACGAGTCTTCCGAAGTATCATTTTGACCCAACGTCGGAGTCAAAACGACTATTAGAGTCGAAACGACACATTAGAGGAGTAAAAATGACCCTTCGAATAAAAGTGTTGAAATGACTCCCCCTGGTCAAAACGACTCTTTTGAATTTACAGTGTAGCATGCGTTCTCAAAGCACGTCGGGCTGTTCAAAATTGACCGTTTCTACAGTCAAATGACAATGTTTCTAAGGGGCGGGATTACAGTTGGTGAGCAATAGATAGAAGCCGTTTAATGCGTGCCATGCACTTCGTTGCCATTGTTGTTTTTGCTAAATAAAGTTATCGATAACTATGTCCATAGTGAAAGTTAATTATTTACGACTATTATGATGTAAAGAGAGCAACGCTCGTTTTTATGATAGCAGAAAATCTAATGAGTTTATCTTACGATGGATTCAAAACACGTCTTACAACCGAAGTTACTCACTTGGAGAAGATGGGTTCATTTTTGCGATTGATAATTTTGGAGGATGACGCGGAAGTTGATTTGTCGTCGTCTTACTTTAATTTTCAAATGCTTGTTGGAGAAGGAGAAAAATATCACGATAGAGGCCTTCGCATTTGCTTCTCCTGGCTTGCACATTACAAATAGTTCATCGCTACATCAACAAAATCTTGAATTTGATTTCGTCTACAATATTACATCTTCTGTTTGGCGAAATGGGCTTTCCGTTTTGAAAACAACGGCCTTTCTTGTTTATTCGCCACATTTCTCTAAATTCAACTTTAATTCCGCCCCTTTGAATCTAGAAACGGTCAATTTTCAACAGTCCAACGTGCTTTGCGAAGGCATGTTGTTTGACGGTCAAACGGAGTCCGCTGTAAATTATGAAATGGTTCTCTGACTGCATTCATGTAAATATTTATTTTCACAAGTTTTGGTTATATCATGCATTTGATAGCTTTGGACGAGTAAATATTGTAGAAATATTTACAGTCAGAGAGATTTCGCGTGTGATGTTTCATTCCTATAAGTTATTATATTGTATATATATTGATTTTGTATTTTAATCTTAATATTTATTTGTTAAAAAATTATTGTTTTTCAAGCACGTTTTGAATGGTTTAATGGCGAAATGGATTGCAATTTTGATAATTTTAACCAATTTAAATGTTTAACCAATTTTAATTTGGTCATTTGAAATTGGTTAAAACGACCAAAAAAAAAATGGTCGTTTGGATGCGTCTGAGACAACCAGTTTAAATTAGTCGTTTTAACCAAAAAATTAATTGGTCAAATTGACCATTTATTTATTGGTCAAAACAACCAATTATTTTTGGTTAAAACGACCAATTTAAACTGGTTGTCTCAGACACATTGAAACGACCATTTTTTTTTGGTCATTTTAACCAATTTGTTATTACTGTGTAGCTATAGGCTACATAGTAGCGAAATATTGAAAAATTAGTATGCATAATGATTATAACTAAGCTTTGCAATTAAATCATTATTGTTTGATGAGAAAAGCCTTTCCAATTTTATTTTTTCATTCTACCTATAATATTTTCCCATGGAATTCCTAATTTCAATTGGTCTTGAATTCTGTAGCACTGCTCTTACTAATATATTTGAGATTATTTAAAAAAAAGTGTTTGGTTTGGGACTGATACGAAATTGTAGTCATGACCTCATCAAGTGATATAAGTTCGCTGGATAATACGGCCGTGAGAGACGAATGGACCTAATCGATGGAATACTTTGCACATTGGACGTCGGCGAATTTAGGTTATTTAAAATCTGGGAAAATGGTATTTCATGGACACTTTGAGTGTACAGTCGCTAGCAAGGATGTGAAGAGTGGGCTAGTGTACAAATAATTTAAATTATTAAATAATTAAGTAATTTTAAACATTAAAATGTTTGTGAGTGCAATGGTACGAATATTTTGATGAGGTGAAAGATGGAATGTTCGAACCATTTAACGAGGCAACAGCCGAGTTGAATGGAACATTCCATCTTTCACCGAAATACCGAATGAAAATATTCTTACCATCACACGAATAAAAACATTCATTATTTGTTTTATATAATACCAAAATAGACTAATATTAAAAGGTTTACTGTAAGGTCCTGCCTTTTTCACGAGTCGTATTTGCATTAAATCCCATTTACTGAGTTTCGAATATCGGGTTAAAATAAACTGCGATCACCATACATGAAGCATTTTGACGGATGCGATTTATCGAAAATACAAAGAGTGCAATGGAATAAAATGTATAGTACAAATGCACTCGCAAAGAGTGGAATGGAACGTATTCCATTGTACTCTAGGCAAATGGAATTTTCTATTCAATATCACGTGACCATAAACAGCCAATTAAACGATCAGAATTCAATAAGGTATTATATAATAACACATAGTGGCGTCTATTAAATGGAAAACATCTTCTCTAAATCTCATCCCCTTCAAACTCCTTATCTCATATAAACGTATTAGTTTATTATTTCCTCTTCGGATGAAAGTAAATGGCGGGATGGCTGCGGAATGCAAGATACGGTGACATTTTTTTGGGAAATTTTATTTCACGACATTTTTCTTTGTTCACCAAATGCGATCGACAGATTTGAATCGTCAAAATTTATATATATATATATATATATATATATATATATATATATATATATATATATATATATATATATATATATATATATATATATAATATTAATGAGATAAAAATGATCAAATTTTACAGTGTAGAAAGAGTGCTCAATACCATTTAATAACGTAGAGCAAATAATTAATTTGTTAACTTAAAATATAGTCACAACTCTGAGTTTCACGCTCAATGCGATCTTCAGGCGACATTTTAATCGAGATTTAAACATTGTCGCCTGAAGATCGCATTGAACGTGAAACTCAGAGTTGTGACTATATTTTAAGTTAACAAATTAATTATATGTATATATATATATATATATATATATATATATATATATATATATATATATATATATATATATATATATATACCGGGTGGCGCAATAAAAAGTTAACCTGTTTGATTTGTTTTAACTTAAAAGCTAAAAGAGCTATTACACGTGAACTACGTGCATTGCATTCAGTATTGTCTAACTTAAATTTTGATATACGCCCTGTGCATTTTCGTGCAATATTGACCGAGCGAGCTGAGTTTAAACTTGAGTAACCATTTTTGAAAGTGTCGAGAATTAGCCAAAACGGCCTATCAAATATTTAATACAGCAATAACCTGTGCTTAGATGCTATTGTCAGAATAAAGTACACGTTCGTTGTCAGAGACCTGCGCAACGCCGCCGGTATAACCTCACGAGCATTATTTAGCCTTACATATTCTAAACATATCGAAACTCTTTGGACCTTCGTTAAACGAGGCGTATTTATACAAAAACAGTTGACGTTTCTTTCTTGGAACATTAGAATTTGATTCCCTCAGGGTCATTGAATATTTAGAATAAATTTTTTAAAATCAAAATCGCTTCATAATTTAACTTTCATGCATTCCCAAAGACCTTAAACAAAAATAAAGGAGCACATCCATCCAATAAACATTTTTAATTTAAATTTCACTTCATTCAAACGAATATTCAAGATAAAATGGTAACAGTTATAAAATTAGTTTAACAGGCTGTTTTTAGCTGATTATCGACACTTCCCAAAATGTTTATTCAAGTTTAAATGCAGCTCTCTCGGTTAATATTGCACGAAATTGCACAGGGCGTATATCAAAATTTAAGTTAAACAATACTGAATGTAATGCATGCACGTAGTTTAGGTGTAATACCTCTTTTAGTTTTTATGTTAAAATAAATCAAACAGGTTAACCTTTTTTTGTGCCACCTGGTATATATATATATATATATATATATATATATATATATATATATATATATATATATATATATATATATATATATATATA